CCTTCCATACCTTCTTCATCTGCTAGGAAAATGAAAACCTCTACCTGGCAAAGCAGAACCACAGAGTTCTTGAAGCCAGTAGGGCTGAGGCCTTCTTTGACCTGAGCACCTGCCTCCTCAAATAGCCAAGACCCTGGTGTGTGTGTAGGAGGGGTCAGTTTAAACTTCCAGCTGCTGGCCCCCAGTACCTTCTTGTTCCTAACAGTACCCCTTTTCTTCTTACCCCCCCAAGACACTTCCATGAAGCCCATCTCCAAGGGTCACATCCCTCTGAGAACTTTGATTTCTGTCTACTTGCCTTTCTGACATTTAGAACCATGTATCCAATGTCTGTACTCTACATCTGCAGGCCTCTTTCACTTGACAGAGTACTTTCCTTGTTTATATTCATTTCCCCAAGAGCAGGCAGGAAGGTGACACGGTCCCATTTTGTAAACGAGAGAATTGTAGCTAGAGAGGTCATGGACTGCTCTAACATACCCAGCAGTTGTAGATGTCTACTTCCATTTAGTGTGCACTGTGAAGCTTTATTTTTCCTTAGGAAGAAAACCCTTAAAGGTGTAATTTAGTGCTAGAGAGTGAGGAGCAGTCTAATAAACAACAAAAAAGAAATCTGCCTTTGTTATCAATCATCTATCAATCATATATCTACCTATCAATGATCTATCATCTATCTACCTATTATCTATCCTCTACCAATTGTCTATCATCAATCACTCAAGCAATCAACCTATTATCTATCATCTACCAATCATCTATATGTCTATCGATTATCTATTAATCATCTGTCTATCTATCATCTATCAATCAATCTATTATCTCCCTATCAATCATCTATCTACCAGTCATCTATTTATATATTTATCAATTATCTACCATCTATTGATTTATCAATCAGTCTATTATCTATCATCTATCTACCAACCATCTATTTATACATTTATCTATCAATGATCATTTATCATTTATCAACCATCTATGTATAATTTATCTGTTGATTATCTGTCAATAATCTATTAATCTGTCATCTAGCTATCCATCTGCATATCATCTGGCTACCAATCATCTATATATTATACAAGTATCCATCCATCATCTATCATTTATCAATTGTCTGTCATCTATCAGTTATCTATATATTATCCATCCATCTGTCCGTCCATCTGTCCATCCGTCCATCCGTCTGTCCGTCCGTCCATATGTCTGTGCTGCCTACTCCCATGGTTAGTTCTTGGGAGGTACACTGGGACTTTCCCTGCCATTCCCCAGTAATACCTTGTAAGGAATGCCATGTCCTTTGACACTGAACTGACAACCTTGATGTAAGTTACAGGCTCTCTGAGTTGGAAGGTAATCATCTGGCTTACCAGGCATTTATTTGGTGGCTCAAAGCCTGCCTACATCTCATCAGAATCCTCGAGGGCCGTGGAGTGAGTTAGAGGAACAATATTTGGTATTGTTTGTGACCTGTGTGGTCTTAAAGTATAACTTCTGTGCTCTACCAAATCAATTAAGTAAAATAAATAGTGGCTGTACACACACAAAGCCCAATTCTTGAGTCGTCTGGATTTTTGAAATGTATTTAAAACATTCCCCTTAGAGTTTGTTAGCTGTTAAGAAAATTGCGGTATCTGTATAATGCTATCATTTAATGAAATGTAATTTTTAAAATGTGACTAAATGGCAGTAAGTTTTGCGTATTTCTCTTTATTTATGCTAGGCACCAGATTTTTTTTCCTTCAAAAATGTCAATCATTTTACCTGTATTTGGTTTGTATGGCATGCACAGGGGTTTGCATAAATGTTTTTTGGTTCTTTTGTGCTTGTTTTTAGCCAGAGGTCCAATGAAGGGAGAGTTTGAGACTGTAGTTTTTAGGGAAAGCTAATGGAGGCCTGTAATGACCTCAGGTGCTTCAGAAGGAAGCAGTAACTAGGACTGATTGTTTTTCCTCTGCCTTTGAGTGAGACTGTATGCCTACACTGATGCCATATCAAGTGCCTGTGGTCAGAGATTACTTAACAGTGTGCACTTATACAGCTGTGCCTTGAACAAGTGTCCCTAGAATAAAATCTGAAAGTATAGGGACATAAACCCTGCAGTCGGCGCACGTGACTCCAACTTCTCTCATAAACTCCCATCATACTATATATTTTGCAGACATGAAGAGTGCTTGTGGAAAGCTTCTAAATTCATTAGTTTGATGTATTGTGGTTTGCAGAACACCTAAGGAGCCTGCATTAATTAGCAAATGGAGCATCCATTATAAGCTACTGGGGGAGCCTTAGTGTTTCAGCTTTACAATTCACAATGCAAGGTTAAATGCCCCTCCTTTTGCCTATCAAGGCTCACACAGTGTCTCTAGTTACTATTTAACACCGAGCTTTTTCTATAGCCCAACGTAGTTCTAAGGAAAAGCTTGTCTAGAGACTTGTGGAATGTTGTGTTGCACATATCTCTTCTGTCTGTGCAGCTTCTCTACCCTAAGTAGTTTAACTGGTTTCCTGCAGAGAGTCAAGAAAAGGTATCTCAGAAGTGCAAAGGACAGTTTCCCACAGCAGTTTTTTAATATTCTAAGCCCAAATGAAGGAGTGAAAATTGACCTAAGAGTCAGCAGTTCATACATTTACAGAGGGCTTATTTCAGGGGAGTGTGTGTGTGTGTGTGTTTCTGTGTGTCTATGTGTCTCTGTGTGTCAGTGTGCATGTGTTTTAAGCCCTGTGAGGCAGTAACAGATATCATTTCCCTAGTTTAAACATGAAGAGGACAGTAACTCTGGGTGCCAGGTAGTCGTTTTCCTGTTGTCACCTCGTCAGGACCTCAACTGCTGTGATCTGAAGGTCATTGGCCAGTGTTCACTTTGTTTTTCTCAGGTACCTTCCTCTTGAGTCTGGAGAATGTATATTTTTAGAGCCTGCTTACCTGCTGTGAGTGGCAGCTGGCAGGAGGGAGAAGGTAGTAACATTGGAGCCAGGTGGCTGATGGGGCTCTGGGAAGTCTCTAGAAGCAGAGCATAGGCAACCCGTCATGTGGGGCAAGGGACAGGCAGCCAATGTACCATTCCTCTGGGGTTTTGCCTGCCCACGAAGCTCTTCCCCATAGTACCTTGCTTCTGCTTTCTCCTACAGACCGTTGCTCCTGGGACTGGAGACCATGTTTGTCACAGTAAATCCTAGAGCAAACTGTTTACCCATTTCGTGAACAAGACAGTGGAAGTTAGATCTAGTGCTCTAATGAGGTCATTTGTAGTGACATAGTGGACACCTGCTCCCAGAGAGATTTGATTCTCTAGTTTAGAGTAAAGCATGGGCATTTCCCAGGCTTTGCTATCTGAAAATCTCTCTTGACTCTGCAGTACCACTGCATGGATTTAGCCAAATTTATTTAAATATCCTATGATGGGTATTTAAGTTACTTTTGGGTTTTTACTGTGGTTGAAGAAATTAAGTCCTTGGAGAAAGGGAACTGTTAGTGCCTTGAAGAGATACAAGTCTGGCTTAAATTGTTGGCCTGGGTTATTGATTCTTCAGTATGTCAACAGTCATTGCAACTAGAAAAGTACATGTTTTAAAGGTACTATCATAGTGATGATTGTTTTATTTTCACCGGAGGAAAACTAATTTTGCAAAGGTCACTAAAGACATGACTTTCACAATTTTGTCATAAACATTCTGACCACAGACTTTTATTTAATGATTTATGTAACCGTGCCTGGCAGTGCTTTTGATATAATGGGTTGATTCATAAGTGTGTAAATTTGAAACATCTAAACTCAAGTATAAATAACCACCTTATAAGTCATTACCTCATTGACTAGATTCTGTGGGAGCACTCCTCATGTCTTATATAAAATAGTTTGCACAGTATTTGTGCAGAACCTAGTTATATCTTATTATATATTGTAAATTATCCCTAGGTTATAGCAGTTCTCATTTTACTGTGTTGTTTAGAAAACAAGGAATAAGTCTATACATGTTTGATGCAGATATAACCATCATAGGCCTGACTACATTGTATATGCCAGTAACAACTTACCTTTGTTTTTCTGAATATTTTCGAACTGAGTTTGGTCAGATCTGTAGATGTGGAACCCACGGATACAGGGTCCTGCTTTACTGCCTTCTTTCTCCTGTGGGAGGAATAAAGGCGTTGGAAGGCCATGTGATGCTGCCAGACTCCTATGCTCTCTCCACCCGCTGCCAAAGGTCCAGGTGCAACAGTCAAATGAGAAGACCAAGTTGTGGGTGGCGTCCCCATCTTCTCTTTCCTTGGTTGCTCAGTGCACCCCACCCCCAACTCAAACCTCAAGGATGGTTGTGGTAGGACATGCCTGTAATCCCAGAAATGCAGGAGGCTGAGGCAGGTGAATTCAAAGTTCTAGGTCAGCTAGTGCTGTAGAGTGAGACTCTTTGTCAAAAACAAAAGCAAAACAAAACACATCAGAATCCTTTTCAACATGGTGTCCACCAAGGCTTCTGTCTTTGTGATAACCTCATGACTTCCCCAGGTGGACATTATCTTTTGATTTTCAACATGTTCTAGATAACTTACTCCTTAATGGAATTTGATTCCGTTTGGGTAGCTCAGTTCCAGGACCACTAAGTGAATTCCATTCTGCTTTTAGGAGAGGCCCACCAGATAAAAATGGAATTGAGAAGTCACATAACTTAAAAAAAAAAGATGAAGAAGAAGAAAGAAAATCTTTGTTATGCATGTGAAAGTGTTTCTTCTCAGTCTCTGGTGGATGAACTGAGTGAACACATGGGGATCTGACTTGAATAAACTCAGGATGAAGTCACACAGAATTAATTGCCTGTCTCTGCATTCTTTCCAAAGTGATGGCTCTTTAGTATTCACACTTGTGATAACTTATGTTTCTTGAGTACAAGAACCCCAGGACAACCAATTAAGGAAGAGGAGAAGGCAGTGGTTCTGTTATATAACCTTTGTGCTACTGTAATGGATGTGGCATTTAAAATGTCTGCCTTTTTTCTTCCTATAGTGCCTGAAACAGTATATGCAGCTGGCCATCCGAGAGGGATGTGGGTCTCCTATCACTTGCCCTGACATGGTGTGTCTAAACCACGGGACCCTACAGGAAGCTGAGGTATGGATGCCTGCCATGACCTTCCCTTCTTCCCTGCTGATGTTATTTATTAGGATCTTGACTCTTTTAAGTATTACCTACTAGGGAGTCTAGCAACAAAATACAGAGGTTAACTTTTTAAAGGAGTGCTTTATTGCCACACAGAGATGGATTCTTTATACAAACTGTTAACACTGTCATTTATCTCGGACCTGTTTATACATGCTGCCGTCTTGCATGTTGAAGAAGCTCTAAAATAGGCAAAGATACTAGAAATCAAAGTGATCAGAAGTGAGGTTTGGAGGATGATTAATGAGTGGCCTTATAAGCCTGAAAACTTTAAAAATAAATAGATGATTGATTAGCTAGCTGTGGAGGATCTAAATCATTGTGACTCTGTATAGTTTATATATGCCACAGTGTACCCTTCTGCAGAGGTCGCCCGAGTTGAACCATTTCCAAAGAGCAGAGAGAGGCCTCAGTTGAGCTGCCTCAGGCATTAGACAGGTCTTTCCTTTTTTTTTTTTTTTTTTTTTTTTTAACAAGTTTTCCAGTTCCTCCAAGTTGTTATAGATCTCATTTATTTTTGTTTAGTCAATCCCTCATCATTGACTTACCCTGAAATTTACCATTCAGTCTTCAGTCCCCATTCACCTGAAGTCAAAAGACAATGAACTCTTGTCTGTATTTGTAACCCTCCAGGAGAAGTCCCAAGAAACAGATGAAATAAGTTGCCCGTTCAGTAAACACAGGACACTGCTTAGCACCAGACATTCCAATTGTTTTCTTGGCCCGTGTACCATCTAATCCTCCTGACAAGCCTTGTGAAGTTGGGTGTTATTTTCAGATATGGAAACTCAGGTCCAGAGGGTGTAAGTTACTTACCCCAAAGCACCTATCTAGAACGAAGAGCTAGAATTCTAACCCAGTTCCTGGGACCACCACAATGATGAAGTATTAAGAGAACTAAGTAGGCATACAGAACATGTAATTAAAGACTTGAAAAGGAGAGCTCAGCAGTGTGTGTATAGATATGAATGTGGGTATATGTGGCTATATATGTGCACGTACATGTATGTATGTCTTTATGAATATACATGTTTTAACATATCCTTTGCTTTGTAAGAAAAGTAGGCAGAATGTGGTATAGAGGATTCCTAACCCAACACAGAGTCTATCCTATGTGTCGTTTATGGAACGTTGGCTGAGTGGTACGAGTGAGTATTTTGCTTTTCTTTTAAAAGAAGTGCTTTTTAAATGAAGCATAAAAGGAATACATAATGGTGTAGAATTGATTCATAAGAAAATGAAATCTAATTAAAGATTTTTATTCATTAATTTATTTTTTATTTTATGTATATGAACATGTTACCTGCATGTGTGTAAGCGCACCACATGTGCACACTGCCCAAGGAAGCAAGAAGTGGGCATTGAATCCCTTGGAACTGGAGTTACTGATGGTTGTGAGGCTTCATGTGGGTGCTGGGAACTGAACCTGGGTCCTCTGCGAGAGCACCACTGAGTCATCTCTCCAGCCCCATGAAATCTAATTTTTGATAAAAGGATGCTATTGAGGTGCGTCCTGTCATGAGGCCCACTGTTTACTTTTGTATAGAATAATGGTAGGAGGAAACTAAAGTGGGGGGAACTGACTTCCCAGAACATTATTGTCTGTTACGTAAGAGTTGTTCTTAAAAGGAGGTCCAAGTATTTGGCATTATTCCTATGCATAATCCTTTCGAGATTTCCTTTCTGACTTGTTTGTGTGATGTCTGACTGGTCCAAATATTAAGAGAGAGAGTATTCTGGACCTGGGACTGAGTGGAGGATAAGGCAGGGATTCTGACCCAGCAGAGAGGCCTTAAACAGATAAAAGTCAGGTAACTGTAGAAGTGAAATGCAAGAGATGGGGCAGACAGCAAGAGCTGGGTCTGGATGAAATTCCTGTATCAAAATCTGTTGAACATAAATGAGTAGTTTGAAGTTTCTAAACAAGCTTCTGAAATCAGTCTGGATCTGGGCTTTCCAGTTTGGTGTTTGCTAGCCACGTGTGGCTATTTAGTTAAAATGATATAAAATAAACTTAGTTTGTCAGCTGTACTATTTACTAACTGCTTTAAAGTGTTCAACAGCCACTTGTGGTTAATGGTTATGAGATCGACAGCTCCAGGTAGAGCATCTCTATCACTGCAGAATGCTTGGCTGCATGGTTACCCTGGACTTCTCACTGCATGGCAGCCATTACCCATTGACATCTTAGACGGTGAATGCTGGAGCTGATGTGTTCAGACACGTGGTGAACACAGCTATAGTTTCTTACAATTTTCTAGAACAGACCTTAAGTCTTCTCCGCATCCTTTCCCCACTCTACACATTCTCACTCCTTTCTAGATTCCACTTCTGTTTTGTTTTTTTAAAAGAAACTTTAAGGTTTTATTACAGCCAAACGAACCCATAATGCCCTCCCCAAATTATAAAAATATATTTAAAAAAATAGAACGAAGACCATTTCATACTAAACTAATTTGAGTTTCCCCAAGTCTTTTTCTCTTTAGATGAGTAAGTGATAAGACGCTCTAGAGCGTTCATAAGCTGTTTCTGTTCTCCCTGGTCAGACTGAGAGCTTGGCTAGAGATGGGCATTCGTGTACAGTAGTCGAGTTCTTAGCCAGCTGGCTGCAACTTATCTTTTAGAGTAGTAAAGTTGTGCGATGGCAGTGGAGGTTGTTTTCATTCCAAGTTTTAAACCAAAGAAAAGATAATATCTGTTTATATGTGACTCTTCTGAAAGTAAATACCCCACACATATGAAAATACCACACACGTGAAAATACCACACACAGATGAACTGGGATTGTACCACCTTCCTTTCTAACATCAAGATTTTATCACGTAGAGTTGTTATGATACAGTATGGCTCACAGCCTGTGCAGTTTTGACTGTATCACAGTGGGACTCATTCAGATGATACTTAACTAGATGCCATCCCCATGACTATTTCTTCCTTCCACTAAAAATGTTTAATTATACATGTAACACATCAGTGTATCTGTTAGAAATAATTCTGGCTAGAGCTAGTTAAGCTCTTTGTGTGCGTGTTTTCCTGTGTGGGTCGAGCTCATGCGCTTGGCTGTGCTCTCTGCCTGTCTTCCCAAATCCGCCACATTGGCTCAGCCGGGGCTCTGCCTCTTCACATTTATCTGTCAGGAGCAGCCTTGTTAGTAAAGCATTTAGTGCCCAGTTCAAGCCCTGTTTGCTTATACAGGAAACAGTGGAACATGCTTGCTTCCCTTTCAGTGTCACAGAGGCTGGTAGAAGACAGTGACTCATGGCTTAGAGGTGACCCCTGTGGGATCCAGGGAAAAGTCAAGCTTTCCCCCATTGCATCATCTGGTACTTTCAACTATTGCTCTGCAGGGCTTTTCCGATGTATTGGATCCAAGAACCTTGTCCAGCATGGCTTCATGAACACAGGATACAGATTATGATTCTGTTAGCATTACTCTAAGCAAAGTTCTGTTCTCAAAGGCAACATCTAATCTAAGCAGTTCCCCACAGTGTTAGAGAAATAGCATACTCCAACCTGCTGTAGAGCTAAATTGTTTGGGCTGCGTGACTTTAGAGTGACAAGTACATAAATAAGACTTTTGAACAGTTCCTGCTATGGCATGGCCAGAGAAGTTGAACTTCTTTCAACCGCCAGCTGGCAGGGGAGGGTGGAGCAGAGCCTTTCGCCCACCCAGCCTCTTTCCAAGTCCTGGGGCCCTGAAACAACCAGCCTGCCTTTTACTTCCAGCACCACAGCATATACCACAGGGCAGGTTCAGCTGCTCTTGCCAAGAGTGAGGGTTCAGAATTTCTGTAGGAGGAGATTCAGAGTGCAGAACCTGAGGCTTAGGGGAGGAGGAGGAGAGTGCTATGGGATCTGAGGTTACGTGTGCAAAATAAATACAGTTTCCCCTAGGGTGGTGTGTTCATTTAGGTTGCTTCGGGAGAGGCAGCCGGAGCTTAGGATCCATACATTCTCCTCAGGTCTGTCTTTAGCACTGCCTGCCCCAGCCATCTCTTCTCTAACACCCTTCCTTCCCATTATCACGGTGGGAAGCTGGGGCAAAAGAACAATGAAGATGCCCAGGCAGGTGAGACTGTTCCCACAACTGTGATGTAAGGGTAGGAAAGGGAAGGGATTGGCTGCATTTCTAATAACCATCCACTGTGCGGATGTATGAGCTGGAGGAAAGCTCATCTTTGGAGATGGAAGGGGACGAAGGAATCCGACAAGCCAGAATTAATAAGATATTTTCTTAAGTTCTCAGCTGTATTTTATTTTTAGATCATACTTTAAGCTTCATGTTGAGAGATGTAGTCAAAGCCCTTGTAAGTGGAGAGTAAAATCGCTATGATTTTTCTAAAACTAAAGTAAAATTCTGCATAAGAAAAACAAGCAGTCATTTAGTTGCGATGTCTCAGCTGCACACCCGAGCATGTCCCTCTTACTGGTCTCTGAGTGGCCCGAGGAAAGGCAAGGGGTGATATGGGAAGGAAATGTTGGTTCGAGGACACACTGATGGGGCTGCTCAATGCCATCCCTTCAGAGGACTAAGAAGATCACTGGCTCCAGAGGTCCAGTGCTCACCCACTGTTCATCTATTTCCCCGTGGGCCCTGCTTCCTACAGAGACACCCTCTGGCACATTCTAATCAGGGTTTGGTATCTAGTGTCTACTCGAGAACACTTGAGCAGCTCTGTTTTACTCAGATGAATGGGCAGACATACCTCTTTCTTCTCTGTTAAAAGGAGCAGTCTTTATTTTTCTTGTTTAAGACAGATCACATTGCTAGTTTCTATATTAATGGTGATTAGACTTCAATTCATAAGGCAAGTGTTATTTTCTCTTGCCTCCATCTTGCAAGTCATAGCACCCTAGAAATTGCCCAAACCTTGCCTGACAGGTCATAACGAGCACTCATGGCCCAGTGCGCTCATCCGTTGCAGTCTACTCTTCAACCTATTTCTTCTTTT